ACACATGTGAGTGAGTGTAAAACATTTGTAAATTTTTTCTCTACATATGGTTTTTCCCTAACAAAATATATGAACAGGTAAAATTTTGAATGTGTAATCCCCGGTAATAGCAATTTTGATTGGCAATAATTTGGTATCCATTCCATCCTTATATTTCGATGACAGAAATATTATACGTACACAAAGATGTAATGATCTCCTACTTCAAATTGGTATACAGTGGTGACCCAATTTCTCGAAATATTGATCATAAACTCGAGGCAAGATCATTGAGTGGTGATGAGTAAGTAATATCCAATACTCATTTAACAGAATTTTTTGCATATTCAAATTGCACATACAGAAACTGGTGTAAAAGATTTAAGATTGCATAGAAGAATAAGGAAATTGGTTTCTGATTTGGGAGACCAATTTTCCCCATTGTTTTGTGGCAACATAATTTAACGAATGACTCCATTTACATTTAATGAATGGCTTGATGTTCATTTTAATTTTTCGGTTACAAACGATTGACAAACAAATTTTTGGTTATATTTGATTTTTTTTCCCTAATAATTTTTTTGGGCTAGTTTTGCTGTTATTTGATGACATATTTGTGAATTAAGAAAATGTTGACTTGGTGTTATATTTTACATTTTTCTATTTCTACTAAATATTAGAAAGATAATTTGTATTGTCAATTTACGATTAAAAAAAAAAAAAAAACTTATGGTAGAATCGTATTGGAATCGAGAGTTTGAATTTGAGTTGATTATTGTAATTATGCGGATTTGAATAGTTCTAATTACAAAGTACTTGAAATGTAATTTGATGATTTTGGAAATGAAAATGATCTCGTTATTGTGGCCGTTGATGGTCGACGATCACTTTAACTTATCAATATTCCTGGATCCGCCACTAAGTAAAAAATAAAATCTTTTGTCGCTCGCTCATGACTAAACACGTTCCATTCCTATTGGGAGAACATAAGGATTGGCTTTGATTATTTTCAATAGGTGGCGAAGGAAGAAGGGAACCTAATAAATAGCGAGAAGCAGTCACATTAATCCACCATCGATTTTAAAATAATTTTAATTTTGAGGATTTTAAATAGTAATCAATGCATTTATGGCTTATGACTTTTAGCTTAACCAAACAGGGAAATAAAACATTAGAATAAAATGAGATACATATTAAAATGATCTATTAGAATGTGTTTGAGCCACGTTATCTTGAAAGAATGTATTTGGTTGAAAAAGAAAGAAAAATTATTGATGTGTTGAAAAATATTATTTTATTGAAAAATTTGTGGTTGAAAACGAGTACAAGAATGAGAATAAAAAAAATAATGTGGCTCAAACATGGGTTAATTTTAATGACATTAAATTAGTCTTTTGATGTCATTAAAGCCCTGTTTGATTTAAATAAAAGTAAGTTTTTAATAAATTTTAATAAAAATTGATGAAATATCTTCTATATATTAAA